CTGCGGATTGAAGGGTCCCAGATTCGATTCTGGCCAATGGCACATGCCCGGGTTGAGGGCTCGGTCCCCAGTGGGGGGCATGCAGGAGGCAGGTGATCAATGATTCTCTCTCATCATTGATGTTTCTATCTCTCTCTACCACTTCCTTCCTCTCTGAAATCAATAAAGGAATATGTTTTTTAAGTTTGGGGATTGTGGTTTAAGTCCAGGAGTCCTCAAGTCCAGCTGCGTAACAGAACCATCTGTCAAATGCCTGTGTCTGGGCTCCGTCCCGCCCTATCTAATCAGAATATTTAGGGCCTGAGCGCTGCGTCCATATGGAACCCAGAACAGAATGTGACGCGCAGCCCAGAATGAGCCTCGCCCATTCTACCCCGTCGCAAAATCCGCCTGGGATTCGTTTCACTGGACAGCAAGCTCTCCTTTTCCTAAATGGACAGAAATGAATTCTGGGCTGAAACCTTGGCTCTGGCTGTGCTCTATTAAGTAAAGCAGTTTAGGAGACGGTGAGGGTTAAAAGGCCACTGACATGCCTACATGTACCCCTCTTCTTCGAAGCTCTCACCGTACACATGCTCTGACTTCAAAATCTTTACAAAATCATGTAAATTTATCATGAAGTTCTCTGGGGAAAGAAAAACAGTGTATTTCACATTTCCTAGGAAAACCTGATTCTTCCCATTTCTGTCTCTTTCTTTCTCGGACGCTTGAATCTCCTCTCCCTGTACAAGGTCTTTGCCCCAAATCCTCACCTCTGTCTCTCCTGCCTGAACCACTAACTCTTTGTAAAGCTCAGGAATTTGGAATTCTCTTAGTTTCTCCGAACTGTGCCCCATGAGAGCAAGACAAATGGTTTCCTTCTCCTTCTAAGTCAGGAGAAGGGAAGAGAGCAAGGAGGGGAGGGTGCCCGGTTCTGGCCCTCAGATCCCCGGGACAGGTCTCCCCGTCTCCTGAGGGCAGGGGTCCGCTTGGAAAGAGCCCTGGTCCATCTTGCGGGCGGGACAGGCAGCTGGAGCTGAGTGCCACCTCCGACAGCGGTGCCTGGCCTTGACAGACAGTCCCTGAGCCAGTCTCTGCTACAAGATTTCTGAGGCCCCTCCTTTTTCCTAAGCAGGGCTGTTTCTCTTCATTCCTGTGAAGCTAGAGCCCGTCCCCCCACTCACAGACGCCCTCTGTTTTGCCCCCAGGAGCCGAGCTCCATCACCGTCTACGCCAGTGTGACACTTCCAGAGAGCTGACACCACAGACCCAGCGAAGGGACTGGCAGAAGGAGGACGGAGGAGCCAAAAGAAACACTGAACTTGGCCCCAGGCCTCAAGTTCTTACGATACTCTACACACCTGCACTCCTCGGATCAGCTCCCTGGGGATGTCGCTTCCACACCCACCCGTGACAGGGACAAGCAAGGGAAGTTTCCCGTGCACTTAGCCTGCTCTGCAGGGCACAGGCCCAGGACAGGTTTCCGTGTCTGTGGTGCAGCAGATGGACTGATAATGCAAATCCTGGAGTCTAGACCTTCGGGTGTCTTGCTCTTCGCTGGGAGTGGATAAGGAAAGCCAAGGGCAGAAAGCCCGCACCCAGAGCTCTTAGCTCAGGCGCTGGCCAGCAGCAGAGCCCGGAACCGGTTCCATTCTGGCTGCCTGTACTTGGTTCTGGGAGCTGCTCCGGGTCACCAGGCAGGCCTGCTCCAGGCTCTGTGCCTCAGGCCCTCTCTCTGGATGGGCAGTGAAGGATGAGTTCCTTATTCTATGTAAACACTGTGACAGAAGAAGCTAAAGAATCAATAAACTGGCAACATGGCTTTGAGGTCTCCGAGCTTTGAATAATGAAATGAAAATCATCTAAGATTCTTAAAAAGCATAGTTTTAAGAATGTGCAAATGGTGGGTGCTCAGATTTAAAGAAATGTGGTGAATATTTGGTGATGCTGTTAGAAAGGAATTTGCGGTCATCAGAACTTATTTTAGGGTGATTTTTCACTTCCCCAAATTATTTTTAAATTCTAGTTCTCTGTTTGCTCCATTGAGCAACAAATCTGGAGCTTCAGCTAAGGCCTGTCAACATTATTCTGAACTCCTTTTACGTCCGCGGCCTCACATCACCAGAGCCTCTAGCAGAAACTTCCTAACCCCTTACGCTGAATCTATCCTGAAGTAGGAAATTAACATATTTCAGCCCCACAGTTTCAAGGAGTTGGATGCTTAATAAATTGCGGGCTGCAGACAGAGAGCGTCTTTCATAAAGTCCTATTTTCTTCCTATTCTCTTGCTTTCAGACATTCCTTCCTGAACGGAAGCCCTTCCTCTTTCTGACAGGCACTTGTATGACACTAAGAAAGCACCGGCTGTCTTCCAGCCATGTCACAAGGGTCACCAACGTCCCGGCTCAGAACGCTGAGAGGTCCTTGTCACCTTGTACCTCCTCCATTCAGTCCATTCGGACTTTAGTTCTGTTGCACGGTGTAGCTCATTCCCCGGTAGCGATTTTGGTAATAGAGTTCTTGGCTGTGATCAACAGAAACTGGTCTGGATTTTGTTTTAATACATTTTTATTAATTTCAGAGAGGAACGGAGAGGGAGAGAGAGAGAGAAACATCAATGATGAGAGAGAATCACTGATTGGCTGCCTCCCGGGCACGTGCCCTTGACCGAAATCGACCCCGGGACCCTTCAGTCCGCAGGCCGACGCTCTACCCACTGAGCAAAACCGGCTAGGGCTGGATTTTATTTCATTTTTTTAATGTAGAAAAGGATCCTACTGAAAAGATATCGCAGGGGCTTCTGTAAAACCATGCTTGGAAAAGGAGCAGGAAGCAGGAAGACATCCGCTGTGGCCAGAGCCACAGCCCAAATCACAAACCCAGCTCAGGGATGGCAATGCTGAGCACCAATTGGGCTCCACCACCTCCTCCCTACCTCCTACCTCCGCTGGATTGGAAACTCTTTCTGCTGTTGGCACTGGCTGAACCTCAGTGACTGCTCCAGGGCCCTTATTCATCTCTCCACCTCTATTTTTAATCCAGAGTCCGAGCCCGCGTGGCCAATCACAGGCCACTCTCCCATGTTCTACTCCCAGGGAGGCTGGGAGTTGAATACCTGCCATTTTCCCCTTATACAGTCATAGGTGGGATTTGCCTCTTATGAGTCAGCAAATTCCCCAAACATAAGCAGTGGAACTCAATGCTGGGCGGGCAAAAACAAAAAAAAAAGTGTTCCCGACATCACCTTTGTCTAACCGCGGGCTGTCTGAGCAATCTCTCCTTTACAACTCAGGTTGTCCCAGCAGGTTCGTTTTCAGCACTGGCCTTTTTCCTGTGGCTAAATTCTACCCGCTGGAAGGGCAGGAGCATAGGGGGGAAGGAGAGGCTAATCCCTCAGAGTTTCCTGTCTCAGATCAACACCTCACTGGGGAGAGGGGCCGTGTCTTGGAGTCTTTGTGCCACCCTTCCAACGACCGGGAAAGAAGCAGACAGCCCTCCGTGTTCCCCAAAGGCGAGCTGAAGCGCTCCTTTTCCTTGGGCTTAAAAAATAAAAGTAAAACTGATACTTCAGAGTCTGATTTCCCCGTGTTCTTCTCTAATGTTGTTTTCTGAATGAGCACATCTGGGTTCTGGAGAACTCAGGAGGAAAAGACTCATTTTTCATCTGAAGGGACTGCTGTTCTGCAGTGCAACCTTGCACCAGCTCAAGCCTCTCGAAGGACACTTTCTCTAGTTAAACACCCGGATGTGATTGGTAAAGGGTGCATTCGCTGACTGAGGAACCACCCGTTACAGTAAGTGACTTCTCTTCCTGCAGTTCTTGTTTCTACCTCCAGGAAAGGAAGAAAATACCGACAGTTCAGCCAGGAAATTGTACTCGTGTCTTGTGATGCCGACAGGATTCATGACCAGTACTCTGGCCAGACGTGCCGCATGGCCCTGTGTCTCTGTCGCTGTAGTGATGTAATACTGGAGGTGGCTGCTTTGACTGGATGACCGGGGAGATGGTCCCTTCCCTAGGGGATGTGCCCTCCTCACCAAAGTCAGGAGCCCCCTTCCACAAGGAAAAGAGAACTGTGTTGAAAGGACTGTTTAACTTCTGTCACTGCCAGAGGAATTGCCTTTCTCAACTGCAGCAGTGTGGACATTTTGGTCCAGATCATTGTTTTCATGGCTGCCCCATGCATCGCATGATGTCTAGCAGATGCCAGTAGCACATCCCCTGTCCCTGATCAAGACAATCAAAAATGTCTCCAGCCCTTACCGGTTGACTCAGTGGATAGAGCGTCGGCCTGCGGACTCAAGGGGCTCAGGTTCGATTCCGGTCAAGGGCATGTACCTTGGTTGAGGGCACATCCCTAGTAGGGAGTGTGCAGGAGGCAGCTGATCGATGTTTCTCTCTTATCAACATTTCTAACTCTCTATCCTTCATCCTTCCTCTCTGTAAAAAAATCAATAAAATATATATATTTTTAAAAAATGTCTCCAGCCATTGCCAAATGTTTCCTGGTGGGGAAAATCTTCCCACTGACTGAGAATCTCGAATCTAAAACCATACTGACTACCTAGTGATCTTTGTGTAGACAAACTATACTTCTATATACCAACAAGTAGAGCTCTCAAACATCACATTTTTAAAAAATACATATTTTTTTATTGATTTCAGAGAGGAAGGATGGGAGAGTGAGATAGAAACATCAATGATGAGAGAGAATCACTGATCGGCTGCCTCCTGCACGCCTCACACTGGGGGATCAACCCCACAACCCGGGCATGTGCTCTGACCGGGAATCAAGCCATGGCTTCTTGTTTGATAGGTCAACGCTCAACCACTGAGCCATGCCCGCCAGGCCAAAAATAACATTTTTTAAATCCACACCCGAGGATATGTTTAGAGGGAGGAAGGGGAAAGGGAGAGGGACAGAGACATAGATATGAGAGAGTCGGTGTTCCAACCAACTGAGCCACCTGGCCAGGGCCAAAAATCACATTTTGAAAGCGGCCGCCTGGTCACGTAAGCATGGCTTACACCTGCCAGTATTCCCAAGGTTATCTAAATATTAGAGTTGCCAGATAACTTTTTAAAAATATTGATGTCCAACCCTACCTCAAACCCAGATGAAATCTTGGTTGAGATCTTTATAGAACCACCAACTTAGAGGCCCACCCCTTTCTCTAACTCCCTGGTTAAGCATCCTACAAGCCTCCCCTCAAATTCTCTCCCACAGCAGTTATGCACGTTCCATTGTGAAAAAGTTCCAAGGGGAAAGTTATCGCGCATTCTTCACAGAGAGGATTTTGTGAAGAATTCCATACAGCAACCACAAGAGGGAGCTGTGCCAATGCTACAGTCCACCCCCCACATGCATCCACAACACCACTTCTCTTGCATCTAAAAGATGAGAACTTAGTCACAGACTTGCTGAAACTGCCTGGATTCTCGTTAGTCTACAACAATTACAGAGTGGTAGGAGAGCTGAGCCCTCCCCTTAGACATAAGGAAACCCAGTGTGGGCTGATGACAGATTCTAATCAAAGTTAACTGCAGTAAGTTTATTTCACAGAAGATGCCTAGTTCTACTCAATGTTTCACTCATTCAACAAATAGTTATCACGTTCCTACTAAGTGTCAGAGCGTGCCACCCAGTGGGAGATACAAGGAATAGAAGCAATTGAAATGTAATACAATAGGAAGACAAGCACGTGATCTACTGGGGCTTGAATAACATTCCTGCCGCCCCAACACCCCATCCCTCACTCACTGAACCTCATGAGGAAGAGTGCATGAGCCGTTTTGTGAATTTGGGAAGATGAGCTGAACAAGCCCAATTCAGTCCCCTCTGAGCTCTCTTTCTTGGGACCAGCCTGTCTGTAAGATGCACACATTCTTGTCTACTCACTCCTGCTCACAACAGCGGGATGTCCTCTTACTGGGTGTTATGGGTTGGCTCAACAAGATAGACCACCGACTCAGAATTTAAATTTAAGAGCCTTTATTAAGCTGGCCAGCTGACCACAGCGCCTATCTCCCCCTCTGGGAGCTTCGGAGCATGTGGCAGAGATCAAGGGTGCAGTATGATCCTTTATAGCAAAACAGTATTACCTTAGAAGTTCACAGAAAGTTCATAAGCACAAAGGGGAGGTAAACGGAGTCACACCTGGCTGGAGCATATCATAACATATTGTTTTTCTAAGAATCTAGCAATTTTTCTTCCATGGTTTCTAACCCTGACACAATCCTTCTCCATATCCTGACACAATCCCTCTCCATATGTCAGTCCCCCCTCCCCGCACA